TGTTAAGATGATTCCGATATATTTCGAACTCAGTTATTTGGAATTATGAGGTCTAGGCTATGTCGAAATTGCACTCCACCTTGAAGAATTATACCTCATTGTAGACAATGATTAAAGTAAACTAATAGAATCAATAGACCTCCTTATGTCATTTTTAAGTGATTTTTGCCATCACTCATTAAATTACCTTAGGAAACCTATTATGGCCGAGTTCTTTTCAAAAATTATTTGTTCTATTGATGCTAGTTATACAATAAATAAATAACATTGTCGGTTATGATGGCGAATACATATTTTATTAATTAACAGTGCTACTATAAAATGTGGGCTTAGAGGAATCTAGCTTGCCTCAACTGTGGCACCTGCCTTGTGATTAATTGCACGGTTGCAGCACTGCGAATACTGAATACTATAAACAAATTTCTTTAAATGTCCATCACTTTATTTGACAGTTGAGATCTGTTTTTTCCACGATTTATAGAAAAATATTCGGCTAGGATTTACTGTTAGATAAGATTCAAAAATAAAAATGAGCACTTACATTTTTAATTATCGCCAGTAAGAGTTGCAAAAAATGTTTTGAGACATCAAATCTATTAAATATAATATATCACGCAGTGTCCTAACTACAATTATTAAATTCAAATTTCAAATCAAGAGTATTGTGAAGGTAGGACTGCTCTTTTTTGTATAGCCTTAATTAATGATTTTTCGTTTAGAGTATATCTTCAAGACTACTTAAAGGCTCATATATTAATTATTGAATCAATGACCACCTTTCTTATATTACTGCATTATCCAAAGCAATTACTATTAATAAGTCTCTTCAAAAGAATTATTTATAAAAAACATACATAATTTAAATGTAAATACCACTTGACCAATGAATTCAATTCGAGACTGGCAGTAGTTTTTAAATAAGGGCTTCAGTCATCGGAAGTATTGTAGGGTGATTGAAGAATAAAAGTAAATTGAAATTGCTTTGATTACAAAAGGTAAGATCTTTTATGATGAACCATACCTTCGGCCCCGTTAGAGCCTCATTAGCTGCTTGAATTCAGAATCCACTGGTACTATCGATATCCGAGTACAAGTAATGGTGTCGAATTTGACGAAAATTTATGAGTGTTTAAGCTAAAATTCTACTATAAAATGTGATATCAGAACGGCCTAGCTTGCTATAAAATTTAATTCTGTCTTGTGACATAATTACAATAGTAACAGAACGAAAGATTAAAAACATTTTAAGATTTATATTACCATACCCTGGCTCACTTTTTGCTAGGAATGCTAAAAAGACCTAAGCGAGTTAGTGAAACATAATTTTTTGTATCGTGTAAGTTTCAATACCAGCTATTTCTCCAATTGATTTACCCAAGGTGATAACATATCGTATTTCTAAGGAATTAGGCAATATATTCGTTAATTTGAAAATTTAATATATAATTATGTAATAGTAAATTTCAAAGCAGCAATCGAGAACATGATTCTGACTACAGAAATGAATCGAAGTTTAACGTAAATACTAAAAATAGAACGAGTATAAACTGAGTTTCGATGAATCTCTTGAGATAACATTGTTGGGGGACACTTATTGCCCAAGTGTTAAAACAGACTTTTACAGGAATGAGACCAAGCTCTGATAATATCTATCATATGATGGACGAAAGCTCAGCCAGTTCTCACCTGAAATAAGTGAGGTCTCGTGGACTGCGTCAACCTGAACGTAGTATTAAAGCTAAACGGCTGTAGTACAACGGGATTCATCCGTCCTCTTCTGGTGAGATCGACCAACGAATTTCTTCTTCATGAACTTTCATACGAAATGAAAGTCCCCCTAAAATTATATCCTGAGTAATAACTAGCATTCAGTCTCTAAACATATGCAAAGTAGCACACACAGTTAGAAAACTCAGTTTTGAAATAGTTACGTAATTATAGTTGTTTCAAAAAGTTAATTTATTCTTGCCCTATTTTATTTAACTGTTTTTGGTCTTATTACACATAATAATAATTAAAATTCAAAAATAATTTTGAATGAATTAAAATATTTTTTACTAGTCATTTGTTCGTGTTTATCTCACCTATTTTAGGCGCATTGATTGAAATCCTCCCCATTCCCTCTCGTTCTTTCCAATGCTCTTGCCTATAGCGACTAGAAATGCGATTTACGAGCACTTGTTCCAGGAAGGCGTTATGACTGCCTGTAAGGACGTGAGGCCGCTATCCAAACACCCACGTCTTGATATACGGAACCTTTATGTAGTCAAGACTCTTAAGTCTTTGCACTCGAGAGGTTTTGTACGCGAGCAGTTCGCCTGGCGAACTTACTACTGGTTCCTGACAAACGAGGGTATAGCTTTTCTGCGCGAGGTAGTTACTATATCACTGATTTATTACCCTAATAGGTCCTTCACCTCCCGTCCGACATCATTCCGGCCACTCTGAAGCCGGCTATCAAGGACATTAGGCAAATGCCTCCTGGCATAGAGCCTCCTCAACCTCGTGGCCAGGACGGTAGAATGGCTTTCCG